TCTTGGGGCCCCGTCGTATGGCCGTCTGGGGGACCATCTCGGGGCTCTCTTGGGGCCCTCTTGGGAGCCCTGGAGGGCCTCTTGGGGCTATCGTGGAGGGCGTCGGTGAAAAGAGAGGGGTCGTAACGTTTTGCCCCCCCTCCCCCCCCTTCAGGGACCTTCGAAATCGTCCCTTGGGGTCCTCTTGGGGCGCTCTACGGCCGCTCTTGGGCACTCTTGGGGCAGTCGTTGGGATGTCTTGGGTCCGGTCCCTCTTGGGCCTCTCTTGGGTCACCTCGAGGTCTCAGCAGCACATCGGATGCGAAAAGGCGAGAAGGCACGAACTTGATTGTCTTGAGGTTTTTGAGGATGTTGGCCTCTTGGGGGGGTCCTGAGGAGGCTCCGACCGAGAGCACTTGGAACTGTGTTGTGACCCTCGTCGGGTCTGGTGGAGGTATGTCGGAAGCTATATTGAACCCTTTTTGACTATCTTGAGCCGCCTTGCAGGGCATCTTGGAGCATCGGAGGCCCTCTTGGAGCCATCTCGGGCGATCTGGGGCGGTCTGACCGATCGCGGCCCGCCACAACATAACCCCAGGTAGGGGAGAAGAAGGTCACCCCTCCCCAAAGGGAACAGGGTTTTGGAAGAGTGAAGGATGACATCGCTAGATCATCGTATCCCAATGGGCCGGTGGGATTTCTTGCATCGGCGCTGGGCCCTCCTGGCGGCGCCTCCTGCGCCGCTCCTGGCGCGCTCCACGCGCCGGGGAGGGGGGTCCAGTGCCGACGCGGGAGATCCGCGCGGACCTCCGAGAAAGTATGTTCATGCAGTTTTTCCCAACCATCATGTGGTGTTGGGTCCTCGTTGAAAAGAGACGGCCCTGCGTTCTCTCTCCTTCCTTCCTTCATCCTCCCCTCCTCCCTCCTCCATCATCATCGTCATCACCCGTTCAACACACCCCTCAGTCGGAAAACACATGGATCATGACCGTCGCCATCATCATCAACCCATCATCGTCATCATCACCATCATCGTCGTCATCATCATCACCACCATCATCATTTTCATCATCATCATCATCATCATCATCATCATCATCATCATCAGCAGCAGCAGCATCATCATCAGCATCAGCATCAGTATCATCAGCATCATCAGCATCATCATCATCATAATCATCAGCATCATCAGCATCATCATCAGCATCATCAGCATCATCATCATCATCATCATCATCATCATCATCATCATCATCATCATCATCATCATCTTCATCTTCATCTTCATCTTCATCTTCATCTTCAGCATCATCTTCATCATCCGCGCGACACCCAGTACAGCTTTTCGTGGCCCCATAGGGAGCTCCACCGAAGTCCCAGTCAGGGGTGCCCGCATGCGTCCGCCTCACGCAGTACGGCGTTTCGTGGCCCCAGATGGGCGCTCTTCCGACGCCCCAGTTGGGGTGCCCGCATGGGTCCGCCACACCCAGTACAGCGCTTCGTGGCCCCATATGGGCGCTCCACCGAATCCCCAGTTGGGGTGCCCGCATGCGCCCGCCACACTCAGTACAGCGTTTTTTTTTTGCCCCATAGGGAGCTTCACCGAAGGCCCCAGTGGGGGTGCCCGCATGCGTCCGCCACAGCCAGCACAGCGGTTCGTGGCTCAGTAGGGAGCTCCACCGAAGATCCCACTGGCGCAGCCCGGAAGCGTCCGCCACACCCAGTACAGCGCTTCATGGCCCCATAGGGAGCTCCACCGAGGGTCCCAGTGGCGCATCCCGCGAGCGTCCCCCACACCCAGTACAGCGTTCCGTTGCCATATACGGAGCTCCACCGAAGGTCCCAGTGTCGCAGCCCGCATGCGTTTCCCACACCCAGTACAACGCTTCGTGGTACCATAGGGAGCTCCACCGACGGTCCCAGGGGCGCAGCCCGCATGCGCCCCCCCCACCCAGTAGAGCGTTTCGTGGCCCGAGCTCCACCGAAGGTCCCACTGGCGCAGCCCACATGCATCTCCCCCACCCAGTACAGCGTTTCGTGGCCCCGTAGGGGGGCCACCGACGGTCCCAAAGGCGCAGCCCGCATGTGTCTCCCACGCCCGGTATAGCGCTTCGTGGCCCCATTGGGAGCTCCACCCCAGGTCCCAGTGGCGCAGCCCGCATGCGTCTCCCCGTCCCAGTACACCGCTTCGTGGCCACGTAGGGAGCTACACCGACGGTCCCAGGGGCGCAGCCCGCATGCGTCTCCCACACCCAGTACAGGTTTCGTGGCTCTATATAGGGAGCTCCACCGAAGGTTCCAGTGTCGCAGCTCGCATGCGTTTCCCCCACCCAGTACAGCGTTCCGTGGCCCCATGGGGAGATCCACCGAGGGTCCCAGTGGCGCAGTCCGCATGCGTCTGCCACGCCAGGTGCAGCGTTTCGTGGCCTTATGCGGGGGCTTCACCGAAGACGATAATTACAGCTGCGGTATTCACAACTGCATATGGTGTTGTCTTTCGCCCGGTTCTTTTTTTACTCCTGGAGCCTCCAACCTGGGCCTCCTCAGCGGGGTCCATGCCAGAGCTTCGCTGCCTCGATGTGACCGTGATGAAACGCAACACGCACCGTGCTCAAAACGTCCGTGTCAATACGTTCCGTGTTTGCTCAACCTATTGGCCCAAATATTGGCGAACGTACCGCGTCAGACTTGCGTTTTCAGTCTACATGTTGAGCTCCGTGCCAACACGCTACGTGTTGCGTCTTGCGTATCGGGGCAGCTACAGTCGACCCGCATAGTAAGGATGAGCGACTTCCCGAGGTTGCCCCTGAACCCTTGCCTCCTCGGCCCATCCCTGGCCTTCTTCTCTGGCCGCGCCCCTCTCGCAGAGTGTCGCGGCGTGGCCCTCCGGGGCCCTTGCATCCTGACCGTGCGTCCTGATGATGATACGGGCTGACGGTGAGTGCCAGAAGGCCAGGGCCGACGGCGGGGCGCTCCGCGGCGCGGGTTCCAGGGCGCGGGCTCTCCGAGCCGCGGCAGGAGCGGCCGCAACGGCGGCGGCACGGGCAGACGTCGGCAGCGGAGAGATCGGCGTCGCCGGCGCGGCAGGGGGGGTTGGGAAAGCTACAGCCGGAGGAGTGGGGCGTGCACCACCGGAGTCCACCACCGCACAGCGGAGGGGAGCGGGTCGAGCTCTTGAGGGCCAGCTCGAGTCTGCTGGGCCTGGGACCTGGCGGGGCCTGTCTCTCGGCCCCTCGCCTTGTCTTCAGCTTCTGCTGCACGTGCTGACGCTCTACGAGCGCGACGCCTCATGAGTGCGGCGGTCGCGACACCTGACCCTGTGTCCAGGCACCGGCCCGGCATCCCGTCCCGAGCCCGCCCAGATGTGAGCGCAGGCGCTGCCAGAGGCGAAACCATGCTTTCCCCTGGCATCGTGCTGGGCAGAACCCTCACCCCCGTGAGGCGGGGACCACTGGACCAGGAGGGGTTGGGTTCTCCTACGCCAGGCCACTCGGGCCCGAGGCCAGAGGACTTCGTTGACCCCTGTCGGGCCAGGGCCCCGAAAGCTGGAGGTCCAGTTCCTGGCCAGGTTCCGGTGGTGCGTGACAAACGTGTATTCGATACCTGGGACGAGCTTCAAACTCAGGGTGCCTGAGTGCCGCAGGCGGGAGACCCCTCAGCCAGTACGAAGGCTCGAGGTCCATCTGCGCCAGGGTCTGCGGGGCAAGCTCCTGGGACTTGTCGAAGGCTTCGTGCCTGTGGTTTCTCTCGCACTCCCATCTCCTGCGACGTCATGTTTCTACAGCCGTCTCGCACCGTGGACAAATCGTAGTTGTCGCCATGTATCCTGCATTCTGGCGTCTCGGGCGAGTCCACTGACCTCCTACAACAACGACCAGGTGAGGGCGCCTGCACTGGGGTCTGCATCTCGCTGAAATCTATGTAGCTCCCGTCGTATACGCCAGACGTAAGCACCTTCCTGAAGTTCATCCCCGTGTTCGCGACTAGCTGCCTGCTTCCAATACAACCTTTGAATGTCCGAGATGATGTCTCCGAGGATGGCGATGTTCTCCCAGTCATGCGTGTAGTCGTCGTCGCTGCTGATAGGAATGAGCCGCGCTTGAAGCTGTCCGTCTGGCAGTGATAGTTCCCTTGTCATTGCCTTCGTGGGGATCCAACCGACGTCCATGAGGGTCGCCAGACTAGTTGAGATGGGGACGTTAACCCATGCCCAGAGTGAAGGAGCGGGAAGTCCAGGGGAAGGCGGAGGCGGGGAAAGGGAGGTGGCGACAACGATGAGGAGGGTTCGGATCCAGAGAAGTGGCCCGCTCTAGAGCGAGAGTGGCATTCTGAACGACGGGAGCCAAGCCCGATCCTGAAACGAAGCTCGCGCTGCAGCGGGAGTAGCAGTTTTGGAAGGACCAACGACGTTCGGATTTGAAGAACACATCGCAACATCATTCGGGCCCATCCCGTGGTTTTTCCAAAGTATAAAGAACAGCTCAGCAAATAACATCGACGCGACGCACGGACGGGGCGCGCGACCCTCAGGACGCACAGCTCTCGGGACGGGTTCGGGGAACAGGGGAGCTGTGCTCCTACGGGAACACATATTTTGGAGGACAAGGGGGCTTGTGGACAAGAGAAGGCGGATAGGTGATGAAGCACAAGAGCAGCAGCGATAGCAGCTTGCTTGCGGCACGGGGCAGGGGACAACCACACAAGCGTAACTTGTTGGAGGTCCGCGCGGATTTCTTGGATCGGCGCTGGCCCCCTTCCTGGCGCGCGGAGCGCGCCAGGTGCGGCGCCAGGGAGGTCCAGCGCCGAACCAAGACATCTGAGCAGACTGCCGGAAGTCCGTGTCTATGCCGCTGTTCATGCCGCTTGATGCTCCTCCAGCTCCCTCCTCCTCCTCCTCCTCCTTCCCTGCCCGGGTCTGTAGCCATCTTGGCCCAGGCCGTGCCCCTCGGTCCCCTCAGGCAGTGCCTCACGGCCCCAGAGCACACACACACACACACACACACATCTGTAGCCATTTTGGCCCGGGCCGTTCGGTCCCCTCAGGCAGTGCCTCACGGCCCCAGAGCACACACACACACACACGCGCAGTCTAAAGGCTTCCGCCGAGTGCGTGGCCCGATGGGCGGGGCGGACCGCCTCGCCCCAGCGCGCCACCACCTCGACGCGGAGGAGGCGGACGCGGTGTCCCCGGCAGGACACCGCGGCGCCCCGGACGCCGACCCGGAGGAGCAGCCCGACTACCTGCTGCTGGACATCCTCCACCACCTGCCACAGGGCAAGGCCGAGCGCCTGCTGAGCTGCCTCAGCGCGCGGGAGAGGGCCCTGGAGGACGTGCGCAGGCGCAGCCGCCCGGAGGGCGAGCGGGCTTGCGGCGGCGGCTGGCCGCTGAGTGCCCAGAGCCGCGGCAGGTCCAGCCCAGCGCGGCTGTGCGCGGAGGGGCCGGCGGGCCCGAGGGCGGCCGGGGGCGACCGGGCACGCCAGGCGTGCCGCCGGCTGCTCTCGCGCGCTATCGGGGAGGGGCACGCGTACGTGATCACTGGGCTCGCGGACGCCGGGCTGCAGCTGCCCCTGGACATCATCCGGGGCGACGCAGGCCTTGCTGGCGAGGCCGCTTTCTGCGGCCGCGCGGACGTGCTGAAGGCCCTGCTGCGCCTGGGCGCCCCGGCCGACGGCGAGGACGCGAGCGGGCTGCGGCCGCTGCACTATGCCGCCATGGTGGGCAGCACGGAGATGATCACCATGTTCCAGCGCGCGGGCGTGGGTGTCAGCACCAGGAGCAGAGGTGGCGCCACCGCGATGCACTTCGCCGCGGGCCGCGGCCACGTCGGCGCCATGCGCCTGCTGGCCAGTTTCGGCGCGGCGCCCGGCCTCGTAGAGGAGAAGGGGTTCGCACCTGCGCACTGGGCGGCCTACACTGGACAGGCCTCGGTGTTTCAGACGCTGGCGAACCTCGGCGCGCCGATGGGCACACTGGCGATGACTACTGAACCGAACACAGAACTTCAGGCCTGGAACGCACCAGTGCACATCGCCGCATTCCACGGCCACGTGGCCGTACTGGAGGTGCTGGCGCAGCTCGGCGCCGCACACGTCACGAATTCTCACGGGTCCACCGCGGCCCACTCCGCGGCGCGCGGAGGCAGCGCGCGCGCCCTGGAGGCATTGGGCCGGCTTGGCTGCCCCATCGCCAGTGCTAACAACCTCGGCAGGACCCCTCTCGTGGAAGCCGCGGAGCAAGGGCACGCTTCAGTCATCCAGGCGCTGGCGAGCCTCGGTGAGCCGATGGACACGCTCGTGATGACCACTGAGCCGAACACGAACCTTCGGGCCTGGAACGCACCAGTGCACATCGCCGCGTTCCACGGCCACGTGGCCGCACTGGAGGTGCTGGCGCAGCTCGGCGCCGCACACGCCACGAACTCTCACGGGTCCACCGCGGCCCACTGCGCGGCGCGCGGAGGCAGCACGCGCGCCCTGGAGGTGCTGGCCCGGCTGGGTTGCCCCGTCGCCGCACCTAATTATTTCGGCAGGACCCCTTTCCACGACGCCGCAGAGCAGGGGCACCTGCCCGCGCTGCGAACGCTGCTGCGGCTGGGGGTGCCGTTTTCTGACGTGGCCCGGACGCCCGACGAGTTCGGCCAGGTGCCGCTGGAGATCGCCGCCGAGAAGGGCCACGAGGCGGTCGCGGAGTGGCTCCTGCATGGCCGGCGGTGGGTGGTCGTCGGCGGCCTCGGCTCCGGCGGCATCGTCGTGCGCGCGGGCCCGGGCGCACGGTCCGAGCAGCTGCCGGAGAGGCTGGGCACGGGCGCGGTGGTGCTGGAGCTCGCGCTGGAGGCGGGGCGCGTCCACTTCTCGAAGGTGTCGGGCGCGGGCCCGTGCTGCGGCTGGGCCTGCGTGCGGCTGCCCGGCGGCAGGGCGCTGCTGGAGGAGCTGCACGGGGCCCCCCCGCACGACGCCGGAGAGGCCGCCGACGTACAACAAAAACCTTTGCTCCTCCCCGCCCCCCTTGAGCAGTCAAGGGCTGTTGGAGTTGGGCCCCGCCCTGGTTTCGAGAGGGGCTCGAGGTCCCCATGGGGTCTGTCCCTAGTGTTCCCCCCTCTGGCACCCCACCTTCCGAAGGCAGCAACGCACACCGCGCAAACAGAGACGTCCAGAGGTCCGCGCGGATTTCGCGGGTCGGCATTCGACCCCCTTCTGCCACACCACGCCCCTTCCCCAGCGCACGGAGCTCGCCTGTTGAGGCGCAGGACATGCTGCCAGGAGTGTCGGAAGGTGGATCCAGCGCCGTCCTGAGAAGTCCGCGCGGACCTTCGAAAACGTATTTACGTGTTCGTCGGTCCCAGTGTCGTCTCATATCTAGGGGTAAACGAGTCGGTCGTAAATCATGGTAGCATCGTGTACCCCGTCTTGAGAATGCGCCGGCGTCGACTAGCGTCTGGGAATCGATGAGATAGCGCCGATGTGGCGTCGACTAGCGTCGAATAGCGTCGGATTACCGTCGATTAGCGTTCGTCAGCATCGACGAACGTCGTTTCGCAAGAGTTAGCAAGCTGGTATGCAAGGCTTCTTTGAGTTGCCACCGTAACTTCGTTAGCACATTGATGCTTCATGTGTTGTGGAGTTTGACAGGATCAAAACAGCACACATGACGCCCCACTGACATCCTGATGTCCGGAATCACGTTTTCACTGTGCTACTCCTTGGACAGCAGCGCAACTCTCAGGACCCTAGCAGAAGGGAGGCGCAAGCTAAGCTGATGTGGATATGTTTGCCGATAGCGTGCTGGAGCGTTCCCACTGGATGAGGAAGCCTGGTGGCGCCTGGGACGGCCCATCCTATCCAACGTGGTCATGCTTCCCGAGACCTCCGACGTCCTGTTTCTGTTCACGACGTGGGCCCCGATGGTTCTCTCGCATGACTGGTCTGTTGCCGCGGGTCGGTTTTGATTGTGTTGCTGCCCGCCATTGGACTCCAGTGGCTTCGTCTTGGAGAAAAGCGTCGGACGCCGTCATGTGTTTGTACAGTGGGGGCGTTCGTTAAGGAGTGTGCCCAGAAGGCTCAAGACCCTGAAGGATTCCGTATCTGACGAGGGCGGCGGTGATACCCATGGCCAGGCATCATTTGAGTGACGAAAGAAATCGAGCCGTCTTCACCAGCGTTGGCGCTTCAGCTGCCCGCGTGAGGTCGCGCGTAAGCGCGCTGGCGGCCCGCGAAATGCACCGCGTGAGGTCGCTACGTCATCTCGTGTAAGACTCGTTCATGTTCGTCGTTTCATGTATGCTTTTCGGGCTTCCAGACTCTGAATTTTGTATCCACTGTTTCCCTATCCCATGCCCGCATTGATCTCGCCGCGACGCTTGGGCGCACGTGTCGATCCATGCACTTATCGCTCGAGTTGCGCCCACCCGGGGCAGTTTGCGAGAGCCTGGGACACCCAAAACGGCCAACATCGTAGAATGCCCCTTTTCGTTCTTGCATGGATCACCGACGTTGTGTATATAATGCATATACAAAGCTTCAAAACGTACGTATGCTAGACCCTCCGTGACCACATCATGAGAGAAAGAGTGAGAGAGAGAGAGAGAGACAAAGAAATACAGAGAAATATAAAGAAAGTGAGAGAAAGGGTGGGAAGAAGGGACGGAGAGGGGGAGAGAGGAGAGGCAGAGAGAGAAAGATGCATTACAACTATTTTTGCCGGTGTGGACCCTAAACATATGGCCTGTAGCATCACAGGTTGTGCAATTCTTCTGGAGCAATCTACGTTGTGCAATCCACCATGTCGAACTTGAAGTTGTCAACCCCACAGCTCGCGCAATCATCCCACCCACCCACCCGCACGGTCTCTTAAGACCGTGACGGTGGGTACCAAATGGCACTTGGCATCTACAGCGACGCCGACGACGACAGCGACAACGACGACGACGCCGCCGACAACGACTACGACGACGCCGACGACATCTCCAACGACTTCGACGACGCCGACAACGACGACGACGACGACACCGACGACGGCGACGACGACGCCGACGCCGACGACTACGACGACGATGACAACGACGACGACGATGACGACGCCGACGACGACAACGACGACACCGACGACGACGACGAGGACGACGTCAACGACGCCGCCGATGACGATGACGACGACGACGACGACGACGACGACGACGACGACGGCGGCGACGACGACGACGCCGACGTCGACGACGACGAAGACGACGACGACGCCGACGCCGACGACGAAGACGACGACGACGTCGCCAACGAAGACGACGACGAGGGAGGAGGGAGGACGACGACGGCGACAACGACGACAACGACGAAAACGACGAGGGAGGAGGGAGGACGGCGACGACGCGAACGACGAAGGAGGAAGGACGGCGACGCCGACGACGACAACGATGAGGGAGGAGCCGAGGGAAGACGACGACGACGACGACGGCGACGAAATAGGAGGGACGACGACGAGACGCCGACGACGGACGACGACGACGACGAGGGAGGAGGAGGAAGGACGACCACGGCGACAACGACGACGGAAACGACCACGACGCCAAAGAGGACGACGACGACGAACACGAGGAAAGACAGAGGACGACGTAGGCGACGACGGCGACGACGCGGGAGGAGGGAGGACGGCGACGACGACGACGACGACGCCGACGACGACGCAAGAGCGCGCGCGCACGCTTTTGTTGAAAATCCGTGTTGCGAAGCCTTGTGTTTACACGATGTTGAAATCCTTCCGAAACCGATGGGTTTCGAAGGATTTCGGCATACGCGCGCGACGACGCGCGCGTCTGCACTTCGTTCCATTTTTTCAAAGGATTCTCGCGACGGCACACGCGCAAGGGCGTTCGACTGATTTCGACATGCGCGCGCGCGAAGCCCGTTTGGTAGCATTTTGTGAAAATCTTGGCAAACCTATGTTTTTCCTTAAGATTTCGCAAGAGCTCGCGCGTAAGTTTTTTTAGCACATCAGTGTTGCGAAGCCCTGTGTTTTTGCATGTTTTTGGAAACTCGATTGCGACATCCTTACGACACCGAAGGCTCTTGAAGGATTCCGGCATGCGCGCGCGACGACGCGCGCGTGCGCACTGCGTCTCATTCGTTGCAAGGGATCCGTGGACAAAAGTGCGATGTTAGAACAGAAGATGTCCCTGCGTATCGTTTTTTACAAGGGGACCTCTGGGGGGTCGATACCGCTTCCCCGGGGACAGTGTAAGTTCTTTCATAGGATGGACATGTGGTCATAATCATATATTATTCACACACCCGAAATGAGAACGGATAACGCCAGGGGGGGGTAGAGTCTATTCTCTTTTTAGAGAGGAGAATTCACCCTGCCCGACTTGAAGTTGTCATGCCCATCGTCTCGTAATCGTCCCACACACCCACCCTCTCGCAACCTCTGTCGCAAAACCCATGCGGCGGCGATTGCATGACTGCTTGGCGCTGGCTTGCGCCTCGTTGCGGCTGCGCTGGCGCGCGCAGGTTCGCGCGTAGAGCTGCCAGCTCGTGTGGCGCGACCGAGGCGGCCGCGGTGGCGCTGACCGCCGGGCACTTCCTGGCGCGTTTCGCAGGCCGCGCTGGCGCGCGGCTACTTTTTTCAAGTCGTTAACTCTGGCGGGCGCGGTATCATGGCGACGGCGACAACGGTGGGCACGATGACGATTGTAGAGATGCTGGAGGCGACGACGGCAAGGCACATGATGGTGCCGATGCTATTGACGCCGATGGCGATGGTGGCGCCCACGCGTCGGCGACGAACATTGTGGCATTATTTCGACCTGCTCGCGCGTCCAATGCACGCGTGTGTGGACGCATTTTATTATGTTGACAGGGATCGTGTCCCCCCCCCCGCGCGCACGCAGAGGCGTGCGCGCGGGAGGCCCGCTAAGTTGCATTTGATGAAACTGATGACGTCCGATCTGTTTCACTGATTCGCTAGATCGGGCAGACCTGTGTTGAAGAACCATGTTGCAAAATCGTTCGTTTTTTTTTTCAAAAGATTTGTTCGGGACGCTCGAGCTCGAATCCCCTGCGAAACCAAAAGTCGACGCGCGCATGTGCACCCCGTTCAAACGTTCGCAATTGAGTCTTGCAAAATTCACATGCTGTGGTAAGCGAGTTCACGTGCAGCGCAGTTCTTGTTAAATGGACGACGGGGCGAGTCGACAGCGGCTTGGTTTTGGACGGTATGATCTCGTATGATAAATAATTGAGCAGGCAGCAACATACATACACTACCACGCAAAAGGGCGAACGGATAATCTCGCGCGGGGGGGGGGGGGTTGAAGGGAGAATGTGCTGGGAAAGGAGAACCTATGTGCCGCAATAGGCTTGTGCAGTAAAGAATTTATGTGGTGCAATTCGCTTGCCGAACTTGAAGTTGTCAGCTCCACTGCTCGTGCATTCGTCCCACCCTCCCACGCGCAACTTGATTTACAAAACCCATGCGGGAGTAATTGCGATGAGTGCTGGGTGTTGGCTGGTGCATCTCTGCGGCGGCGCTAGCCCGCGCAGGCTTGTGCGCGCATCGGCCAGCTAGTTTTGCGCGACCGACGCGAACGCGGTGGCGCTGGCCGCCCGGAACATCCCAGCGGGCCTTTCAGTGCGAGTCGGCGACTCGGGCGGGCGCGGTATCACGGCAACGTCGACAACCGTAGACACGATGATGATAGTAGCGATGCTGGTGACGATGCTGACAACGAAGACGGGGCAGCCAGTGACGGCCCCGATGCTGATCACGCCGACGAGGATGGTGGCGTGTTCGCGTCGGTGATGAAGGGTTTGGAAGGAATTTTTTGGAAGGAATTCGAACTGCTCGCGCTGCAGACGCACGATAATGGTTCGCATGGTATTCTTCGACACTGATCGTGCCATCCCAGCACGCGCGCAAGGGCGTTCGAACGATTTCGACACGCGCGCGCGAAGCCCGTTTCGTAGGATTTCAATTCTGAAGAACTTATGGTTTTCAAAAAAATCAGCAAGAGCGCGGGCACGCTTTTGTTGAAAACCCGTGTTGCCAAACCCTGCGTTTATTTATTTATTTGTATATATTGGACACTCGATTTCGATCTGCTTCCGGAACCGAAGATGTTTGAAGGATTTCGGCATGCACGCGTGACGACGCGCGCGTGTGTCCCCCCAATATTTTGCAAGGGGATTTTGCAAACATCTGATTGTTGATAAATGAGTGCGCGCGCATAGTTTTTTTCCAAGGGAACCGAGGGGTGCCGATACCGGCCGAAATGGGATAGTATGAAATCACCGGTAGGATAGACATTGGGTCAGAATCGTACGTGTTTTGCATAAGTTCTGGGGGAGTCGATACGTCCACGGGGCGAAGGTGGAACATTTTTTTCTCTGTTACAAAGGGGGCTCGTTGATGTGTCCTGTTTGTTGCGATCTATGTGTATATACTTATGATGCGCATGTATGTGTTCCAATCTAAAGAGTGCAATTGTTCTATGTATGTATATAAGCATGCATGCACACACATATACACATGTGTATATATGTATGCACGCATGCATGCATATAAAGACACATATATATATAAGTACATGTGCGTGCATATCTATCTATCTATATATATGGTGCAATAAAAGTGGCACAACTACGCAGTGCAATCCACATTGATGGTCTTCAAGCTGTCCTCTCCAGTGCCCGTGCAAACATCCCACCCTCACCCGCAACTTGGTCGCAAGACCTCTTAAGACCGTGACGGTAGGTACCAACTTGCATTTGGCAACGGCACCGACGCCGACAGCGACAACGACGACGACGACGCCGACGACGACTGCGACGACACCGACGACGATTCCGACGACTTCGACGACGACGACGACAACGACGACGACGGCGACACCGACGACGACGACCACGACTTCGATGACGACGACGCCGACGACGACGACGCCGACGACGACGACGACGCCGACGACTACGACGGCGACGCCGACGACGACGACGACGCCGA